AAAGCCCAGGAATTTACCAGACCCCACACCAAAGGCGCACTTCTCAGGATTGAGCTTCATGTGATAGGACCTCAAGACGTTGAAAGTTTTTTGGAGGTGATCGATGTGGTCTACTGCTGCAGGGCTCTTTACCAGCATGTCACCCACGTACACCTCTATTGTTTGCCCGATTTGAGACTGGAACATCTTGTTCACCAGCCATTGGTAGGTTGTCCTAGCGTTCTTTAGCCCAAAGGGCATGACCCTGTAGCAGTATGTCCCCTTTGGCGTGATGAATGATGTCTTCTCTTGGTCTGGGGGATGCATGCTTATCTGGTTGTACCCCGAGTATGCATCCAGGAAAGTGAGCAACTCATGTCCAGCGGTGGCGTCAATGAGGAGGTCAATCCGCGGCAGTGGATAACTATCTTTTAGGCATGCCTTGTTTAGTTCTGTGAAGTCGACACAGAGGCGCCACTTCCCATTAGCCTTAGTAACCATTACTACATTGGAGAGCCACTCCAGATACGCCACTTCCCTGACTGCCCCGTTATCAATCAGCTTTCTAACCTCCTTGTCCATGGCTTGGGCCCTTTCAGTGGACGTTCCCCTTAACTTTTGGCGAACAGGCTTGTACAGTGGATCGACATTGAGGCGGTGGGTAGCTACTTCCGGGTCGATGCCCTCAAGGTCCTCATGCGACCAAGCAAAGATGTCCATATTACGCTTCAAAAAATCAATCAACAGGGGAGCCAGCTCTTCAGAAAGGGAAGAGCCAATGTAAATTCTTCTATCTGGGTGCTCCTTTTCTAAAACCACAGGGATGAGTTCCTCGACTGGTTCTCCTCTTTCTGTTGCGGAGTCATCTCTTGGGTCAAGGACCTCAACCTGCAATGTTTCTTGGGGCTTCCTAGCCTTCATAGAGGATACATAGCACTCTCTGGCTGTTATTTGGTCCCCTTTGACCTCTCCGACACCATTTGAGGTTGGAAAGCGGAGAACGAGATGGTAGGTAGAGGGCACGACTCTCAATGTGTTAAGAGCTGGCCGCCCTAATATGATGTTGTAGGCTGACGGGCACTCTATTACCAGGAAGTTGACCATGACTGTGGAGCTTTGGGGTGTTACTCCGGCGGTGACGGAAAGTGTGATGGATCCAAGGGGATACACTTTTTCTCTGAGAATCCAATGAGGGGTGACCTGATTGGCTGTAGCCTCTCCCTACCCAGGTTGAGCTTGTCATAGGCCTCTACAAACCGGATATCCGCAGAGCTGCCACTATCCACCAGGATCCTGTGCACATGAAAATTGGTCACCGTCATGGTGAGCACCAAGGAGTCATCATGGGGGTGTTGGATTTCCTCCAGGTCCTTGTCTGAAAAAGATATGACCACGTCGCCTTCCTGCTTCGGCACCTTAGATGGGCGCATCTCGTAGACATGTCTTGCCTTCCTGGCATGGGCCTTCATCGCAGAAAGTGATTCTCCCCCATCTGCTAGTCCCCCTGAGATGGTGTGGATTTCCCCCACTGGCTGCTGATCTTCCTGGTTGTGAGGTTGTGGTGCTCGTTCCCTTCCAGCAACGTACTGGCGTAAGTGACCACGCTGGATGAGCCCCTCAATTTGCCTTTTGAGGTCGTAGCAATCGTCGGTGTCATGCCCGTGGTCACGATGGAAACGACAATACTTGTTAGGATTTCTGCGATTTGGAGGAGACTTCATTTTTCCAGGCCACTTTATTGCGGGGTCATCCTGGATCTGGAATAGGATGTGTTCCACGGAAGCATTGAGGGGAGTGAAGGGTTGACGGTTCCTCTGAGGAGCAGGACCTAGCCGGTCCTTGACAGGGACTTTCTCTGTCCTGCCATGTTTGTTGCTGATCCCCTTCTTATCGTCCCTCTCCCTTTCCTTCCTTTTATCCCCTGCTCTAGAAGACTCACCCCGCCTGGCCCTTGTGATGTCTTATGCGTTTATGTACTTTTGGGCCTTGGCTAGCAGCTCTGGCATGCTCTTCGGTGGACGCTTCAGAACTGAGAAAAGGAAGCTTGATGAACGGAGGCGGTCATCGTCACCTTGTCGTCGGGTTCATCAACTTGGAGTACCTCCTCGTTAAAACGAGTGAGGTAACTCCTCAGGCTCTCCTCGCGGTCCTGCTTTATACTAAGCAGGTGCGTAACTGGCTTCTGGTGGCGACGCCCTCCAATGAAGTGTGAGACGAATGATCTGCTAAGCTCGGCGAAAGAGGAAATAGAGGCGGGGGAGAGCTTAGCAAACCACTGTCGGGCAGACCCCTTTAACGTGGTTGGGAATGCCCTGCACATGATTTCGTCTGGTACGTTGTGCAATTGCACCAAGGTCTTGTAAGTATCGAGGTGGTCCAGTGGATCCTTTGTTCCATCAAAGGTCTCCAGAGATGGCATTTTGAACTTCTGAGGGAGGGGGTAGTTTGCTACATCAGGTTTGAAAGGCGTATCAGTACCCCTTACCAGGTGGTCAACAGTCTCGGGTCCCTGTGCCTTCATGGCGTTGAAGACATCACCGAGTTGATTCTGTACCTCCTTTATCTTTTCGTCCCAATGATTGGGGGCTCCTCTGGAATGATCATGGAAGTGGCTTCCATGCTCCATGCTTTGGTTTTCACCCTCATCCTCCTGGAGATAAGGGTCTCTCCCTGGGAAGCAAGGGGAGGGGGAGGTGGAGCTCTCTCATGTTGGGCTTCCCGAAGTGGGGTGCCCAATGGGGTGCCCAAGCGTGGAGCAACAGGGCGTGGTGCTCCTTGATGTCCAGGACGTGGAGCTCCCTGGGTGCTCTATGTTGTGCACCTCCGTGGGGCCCTCCATGTTGTGCATCTCCGTGTGGTGCTCCACCTTGGTGTCCTCCATGCTGTGCACTTCCATGTGGTGCTCCACGTTGTGCACCTCCGTGTGGTGCTCCACTTTGGTGTCCTCCATGCTGTGCACCTCCGTGTGGTGCTCCTCCTTGTCCAGCAAGTATGAGTTGCAGTAACTGTTGGTTTTGAGCAACCAGTTGCTGCATGGTCTCCAATATTTGCTGGGGACTCGGGGCTAGAGTATCCGGAACAGGGTTGATATGCGGGGGAGCAACCTCCTCCTCTCGTGGAGGATTGTCTTCATGTTGGTTCATGGATCGAGTAGTGATCGCCATTAGTTAATGGATGTAATGTTCAGGAGTGAGAATTTTGTCGAATTCCCACAGACGGCGCCAAACTGATGATGCACAAAAATGATTTTGCACACCACCTGTCAAGTGTAGGTAATAAATGCAGTAAAATCAATAAAAAAAATTAAAGAAGACACGATTTATAGTGGTTCGGTCAATTCGACCTACGTCCACTCTTCAATGGCTTCAGTCGCCGGGTATTTTATTAATTCAGAGGTATGGAGAATAGAGATACAAGCTTTGAGAGAATGGAGAATCAAAGAAGGAGTGGTCTTCGGTCGTCGGTCTATATCTCTGTAAGTGTTGGTGGGGCGTGACTTTCATCTCTCGTCTCCTCCAGATTGGGGCTACTTTATAGCAGCTAAGAGATCATTCTTGTGGAGATCGTGACTTATCCTCAAGGCTACTTTATCGCAGCTAAGAGATCATTCTGGTGGAGATCATGACTTATTCTCAAGGCTACTTTATCGCAGCTAAGAGATCATTCTGGTGGAGATCATGACCTATCCTCAACGGAAGGAGGAGGTTGGGCAGCTCTTCATGAAATGTGGTCAAAGCTTGGACCGTTTCCTTCGTCGGTGCAGATAAGCTTCTCATGCTCTCTTCTTGATGACGTGCTAAGCAAAAAGTCTAACCGGTCTTGGACTGTCTTGGGCTTGGTAGATTCAAAATGAGGTTGGGCTCCTCAACTGGAGTTGAACTTTAACACATGAATTGGACTATTTGGGCTTAACCCATCAAGTTATATGAGTCCGTTTTCACCATTCATTTCAGTCATGTGTTATACGCTCATTTAAGTTATGTACGACCCGCCATATTTTCAATATACTCTAAATGTGGGTTTTTTGGGGAAGCTTGTCTTACATTTTGTTGCGATAAGGATCTTGTATCCTGAACTTTGGATGTATTGGTGGATGTGCCAGTATGTTTTCGGAGATACAGGCTGTTGGAATATATTCGGAGGGGATGGTTATTAGTTTCTGCTTCTGAGTAGTGTTTCACAATAGAGCTTCAATGCCTGTAGCCTAGATGGAGTATCAGGTAATTTTATCTAATTTAGTTGTTCAAGATAGACTCAAAAGCTCTTTGACATGTATTTACCCTTTAAATGGTTTGAATTCTGGTCGAGTTGCAAGCCCTTTCGGCTGATACATAAAATGTGCTCAAGTGTTCTCCTTTCTCCTCACTGTGAAATAGGAGTTTTCCTTGTTCTGTTAATAGATAATTTTAATGATTGAAAAATGGAAGATACAATCTAGTTGAAGTGTAATCCAGAACAGTATTAAAGCAAAGTGCAGATACCAAGAAAACTTTTCCTTTGTAACTACATCTATTTCACAGCATCAATAGCATTGAGGTGTTCATTTTTTATTATGCAGGTAGGAATTATGGTATTTTATCTTTCTACTAGATATTTTGTGGAAAAAATTTTTCTTAACTTACACTACCCGATGAATTGTATTATTCCTACCCGAATTTCTTCCAAAACAATCAAGTACGAAGTCGGGTAGGAATTAGGTGAATACATATTGTATAATTATTAATTTTTAGATTATTTTAACAATTTAATTAGGTAACATGTCTTAATTAACTAAAACAATAAACTAATAACACTAAAGAAAACACAATAAATTCAATAATACATAAATAATTACAATAAAACCCAACAAGAAAATCATAAACATAAATGATAATATATAATAAAGCCATAAACATCAATAAAACATTAAGATTTCTAGATTTTTGGATTTTAATTTTTAGGGATTAACATATGAAAATTTTGTAGATATTCAGCATTCTTATCCGATTTTTTACAAAATACCAAAAAATCATCCGTTGGTCTACTCGATTCTTTCGAGTAGCCCAACAATAGAGTCGGGTAAGATAGGATAGACTAGAAATCGGGTAATCAGAAATTTGAAGACCATTAGTCTAATGTCTTAACTTTGTTCTTTTGCTGCTCTGTTATGAAGAACTTCTGTGATGAATCTGTCGAAATTATTGTAAGATGAACCTCCAACTTCTATTGCTGCTTCTGCTTTCCTCTTCCACTCCAACGCCTGTTTCCTCATGTTCTTCCCTTTGTCAGCTTCCAACATTTCCTTAACAAGTGCTTCAATTTCGTCGCGCTTTACATCATGGCTGACCTCTACTCCTATCCCCCACTCAGTGCATGCATATCTGCAATTTGTTTGCTGTTCGGCGAAGAAAGGCCAGCAAATCACGGGCACCCCTTCGCATATGCTCTCCAGTGTTGAATTCCATCCACAGTGAGTGAGAAAAACAGCAACGGATCGATGGGAAAGCACTTGATCTTGTGGGCACCAACTGGTAAGCAACCCTCTATCCTTAATCTCCTCAAGAAATTCTTTGGGCATGATTGCTGAATCACCCATCACAACATCTGGTCGAACAATCCACAGAAACGGTTGCTTGCTATTTGCAAGCCCCCATGCAAACTCTTTTAAGTTCTGGTCCGACATCAGGGTTACACTCCCATAATTCACATAGACGACCGAGTTTGGTTCTTGTTTATCAAGCCATTGGAGACACTGTGTGTCTTCTCGCCACAGGCTTGGCCGAAATGAACTCAGTGGACTTTCAGTGTTGCCCTGGCCAAGCAATGAAAGCGGTCCTGTGGTGTAAATCTGAGGAAAAATGGATTCAATTGCTTGTACAACTTCATGCTCCAGTGCATCGAAAGTGTTTAAGATAATTGCTGAAGCTTTCAAGCTGTTTTCTGCTGCATCTTTCGTGTAGTTGAGCAAGATGTCATCAGGATCCGTTGTCTGAATAAAGGATGGGATGTCCTTAAGCCGGATGTTTCTCATGCCAGGGATCCAATCTATTGGTGTTTCAAGAGAGCCATCATTTTTGAAGCTTTCATCTGGCACTCATGAAGAAAATGTTGCATTCTTAATCTAAAATATGCACACTCATGAAGAAAACGTGATTACTTATATCATATGTAACAACAATACCCAGAGTTAAAAAAAATAAAAAAAAAATTAGAGTTGTTGTGATTTTAATGAAATTATTGTGAATACAAGAAAAGTATGGGGATGGTAGTGTAATTTGATAACTCCAAATAAGTCTCTCTAATCTTGGAGGGTGTGATTGATACCTTCACATTAAGATGCGATTCTAAGATAACAATTTAAATATCCATTAGTGCATAAAGGTTATTGAATCCCCAGGTTAAACAAAAAGTAACACTAAACTTCTGTATTGATGTTAATAATGTTCTGCAATAGGCTCTATCACTGATGAATTATGTTAGAGCAATGCTATTGGAATTTAAAAATCTGACCTAATTTACTGACTTTATTCACTGTGTCTTTTGGATTAACTGTATGCCTCATCAAACATTGAAACTTGGTGTTGATCCAATGATTTATATTAAGTCACATCATTATGTCAACAAATTAGGTCAAATTTTTAGGTCCAAATAACATTACTAATTATGTTATGATGTAAGGGGTGGGGCCAATGACAAGATGATCAACCGTATAAGGCCAATGATACGTATAGAAAATAGGGTAAATTGCATCACATATTCGTGTAGTTTTGGCAATTAGCACCTTATCTCTCTTTGATTGGAAAATGTATGCTTCACACATTTCTTTTTTTGGACTAAAATGGCATGATCATGGATTAAAATCGACACTCAAAAGTCAAAATTTTTTTTCAATTGACAATCTCATGAAAAAAGCAAAATATTTTAATAAAAATAACATGTCAAAATGACTTTAATACAATTAAAGGGCGTATAGTCTTTCTATATAAGTCATTAGCCCCTTAAATGTTTCACTTTATTCCAAAAATTTTGAATTGTATCGGTATTTCGGGCCCAAAACATGGAAGGTGAAATATAAGTTATTCTAACGAATAATACGATGTTATATCACCCTCTAATTGTATGTTTGATTGTTGTGCAAGTATTAGACTTATGTTGTAAGCATGCCAAAATTGCTACTAGAAACTTATTTCAATCCAGAAGATCATGAAGCTAGTGGCATAGAAGCAGAATTTGGGGGGCAATATAAGAATGAGCTGCTGAAGATTACCTTTAAATGGGACAATCCCTCGTTTGATCAGTTCACTGTATTGAAGATAGCCCATGAAGCCACAAGCTGAAGGAGTCCAAAATTGAACTTCAGGAATGCCAAATTCTTCAGCAGCCTTAATGGCGAAGCTCATGATACCATCTGAAACTATGCATGTAACCTGCGGCACCTCCACCGATGAATTAAGCTTGGTCAATAGATCTCGAAAAGGAGCCAAGCAGTTCTTTCTAATGGAGTCACAAAGCGCCGGAGGATCTTGGGTGGCGTCACGGTCGGACGGTGGCAGTCCTTCAGGTATGGTCTCGAACTGGAAATCATCAAAGCCCTTAACCCACTCCGGTCCTTTGGACCGGAGAAGTCGCCTATGGTTGAACTCAGTGTTGACAAAGGTGATATAGAAGCCTCTTGAGTGTAGAAGCTTTGCTAGATGCATCATTGGTATCACATGTCCTTGTGCAGGAAATGGTACACAAACTGCATGAGGCTTTGTGTTTGAGACTCTGTCCATGTTTAGTTGAGCAACTAGATGGTAACAGAAACTAAGAGGCTCAGCTAGGTTACTTGAGATGAAGAGGTTTAAATAAACAACTATTGGAGCTTTTGACCCATCCATGGAATTTAAAAAAAAGTCTCAAATAATGGTCAATTTCAAAGTAATTCTCAAACTCACGTCTTTTTTAAACAATTCAAATAAATTGACATTTTTAACACAAAGACAATGGCCACATTCAAGTTAAACACACTGACGTTTTTATTTGAACACATTACTCCATTTGACATGTTTCCTCCTTCTATTTACCCCTTTAACTATTCAATTCCCTTTGACCAAGTCTCAAACCCAGGTTCGTGTCACTCCATTTGACAGCACTCCACCTACAAAGACCAAGTCCAAAACTCAGGTTCTAATGCAAGAATAAATAAATAAATAAATGTTTATTTGGATAATTATCATAACTGCCCCTAAATTTTTTTTTGGGTTTTAATTTAGTCCTTAAAATTTTAATTGGTTTATTTCAATTAAATCATTCCGTAATACCTAAAAAAAAATTTAGTGATAGGTTTTTTGTCTTTTTTTCTGAGTAAAATGTTAAATATTTATTTAATAAAAAAACTAATTAATAAAAAATTATGATTTTTTAAAAATATATAAATTTCGTTTGTCCTACTGATGTTATTCTCCCTAACAATGATACATAAATACGTAAAACTGTTTTGCTCCCTATCTCTTTGAGACAATGAGTTTTTGTTATTTATTTAAAAATTTAATTACATTCAATAAATAAATTTTGATAATTTAAAAATAAATAAATTTCTTTTGTCCTACTATCATTTTTCTCCCTAACAAAAACTCATCCTCTCACAAAAAAAAAGGGAGCAAAACATTTTTAAGTATTATTGTTAGGGAGAAAAATGTCAGTGAGACAAAAGAAATTTATGCTTTTTTAAATTATTAAAATTTATTTATTGAATGTAATTAAATTTTTAAATAAATAATAAAAAATCATTCTCTCAAAGAGATAGGAAGCAAAACAGTTTTACGTATTTATGTATTATTGTTAGAGAGAATAACATCAGTAGGACAAAAGAAATTTATGTATTTTTAAAGTATCATAATTTTTTTATTAAATAAACATTTAACATTTTACTCAGAAAATCTATCACTAAAATTTTTTTAAAATTAATTAAAATTTTAAGGACTAAATTAAAACTCAAGAGAAAATTTAGAGAGTAATTATGATAATTATCCAAACAAATATTATTTTATTTATTTATTCATGCATTAGAACCTGGGTTTGGTACTTGGTCTTTGTAGGCGGAGTGCTGTCAAATGGAGTGACGTGAACCTGGGTTTTGGACTTTAAAAGGTATTGAATAGTTAAAGGGGAAAATAGAAGGAGGCCATTCAATTTAAATAAGTCAAATGGAGTGACGTATTTAAATAAAAATATTAGTTTGTTTGACATGTTTAAATTGAATATGGATCACAGTCTTTGACATTTTTAAAAAAGACCGGAGTTTGAGAACTATTTTGAAATCAATCAGAGACTTTTATTTTTAAACTCCAGGAGACGGGTCAAAAGCTCCAACTTTTGATTGCAAAGAAGTTATATTTGACTTTATCCTTCCGTTTTTGAGAGTGATTGGAACACTTGGATTCTAGTAATTATTTTCTATTGGCTCTTGTTCTCCAAAGTCATACGGTGACAATTTTCATTGATGGGATGGAAAATTGGTTTGACTAAAAATAAAAGTTTGAAAATTTCTCATTGATTTTATTTTTTCAGCTTTTTAAATTTGTTTGGTCCATCATATTTGGAAATTAACGAAATCAATGACTATATCTGTTGAGCTTTTATGGCTCATAACTTCCACAAATGCATAAATAAATTAACGGGCAATGATATTGGAATTTAATTTATTGACTTAATTTATTATGATATTGGATTGACTGTAGAACCCATCAAACATTAGAATATGATATTGATTCGATGGTTCTACTAAAGTCACATTATTATATCAATAAATTAGATCAAATTTTTAGGTCTAAATAATTTTACTTTAAATTATATATGGCCCAATGGGTCATTTGTTTTTATCTTAGCTTTTCCGGTCATGCCTTCTGCTACTTTTCCACCATAACTATAGTTTTCGATTGTTATTTTCTGTATTTTTGTTGTTTTGTGCAATTTTCTTAAACTCGAGTTGAGTCCAACCCAACCCAAGTGCAGGCAAACCTTGGTTAGCATTTGCAGTCAATCTTAAAGTTGTCGTCGTCCACTAAAACTTTCAAGTACTTTACGATAATGCCTATGTATGTCGCAAATTGATAAATCAATTTTTTAATTCACTTTGATCTGCGTTACATTGTGTTAGTCACTTATGACGTTGTAATATTTACATGTAGTAAGTCATGTAATTTTACAGTAATTATATTTTCTTGTTTATATTGAAATTGATATAAAACTTACATAATTTATCCTATATTTCCCAACAAAGTGAACCAGGTAGGCCACCATGGTCATAGTAATATTCTAAGATATCGTAACATAATGATAATTGATTTATTTGGAAGGTAATGTTTGACAGGTAGTCATGATTGAACCTTTTTTTAGATTATTTAGTTAGAGATAGTCATTAGATAGATGTCCCTACGTCTCTGCCTCTCGTAGATATTTGGCTTTGTCTGACTATAAACGAAGATTATAACAAACACGAGTTTTGAATATACTAGACATCGTTGAATTTACTTTTCAGAAAAGACAGAAAGTTATTTGAATTTTCTATTTCTTGCATTTTTTGTCTTTATTCTGCTAACTTCACCAATATGGATTAATTTGGATTTAACCCTCAAGTCTCACGCTTTAAATGGGCAGCGACGAGTGTAGACATTAAAATTTTAATTAATAAATTAATATTTATAATTGAGCTCAAATCAATCAGATAAATAAAATTGAGTTAAACCTAAATTTCATAAGCCCAAATGATACAGTTTTATATTTAATTAAATAGGTTTGAGTTAGACTTTAATTCCACGACCCCAAATAATATAAATCCAAACATAATTAACCACCTTGTTAAATAAAAAATGGACTTAAATTCTATGAGCCCAAATTAAACAAATTTTTAAAGGTAAAATGGGTTGGACTTAAATTTCATAAACTAAAGCCTACAAATTAATGGGTAGCCCATTACCTAAAACCTATATAAGGGTAATTAGGTAAAAGTACTCTTATATGGATAACTATCACTCTTATATGAATAACTACTTCTAGCACTATAAATAGAGGCCGGAGGAAAAAGAGCCAAAAAGAGAGAACGCCAAGAAAAGAAGCCAAGGAGGAGGGAAGATCAAAAAACTCGGCCTGAGTCCAT